CTGATTGGCTCAAACGCATTAAGATGGAAAGAAATTCCACAAATTAACTTTTAACAAGGCACACCTGTTCATTGATATGCATTCCTGGTGACTACCTCATGAAGCTGGTTGAGAGAATGCAAAGAGTGTGCAAAGCTGTTATCAAGGCAAAGGGTGGCTACTTTGAAGAATCTTAACCGTTTTTTGGTTACTACATGATTCCATATGTGTTATTTCATAGTTGTGATGTCTTCACTATTAATCTACAATGTAGAAAATAGTAAAAATAAAGAAAAACCCTGGAATGAGTAGGTGTGTCCAAACTTTTGACTGGTAACAAAAATCCCATGTATTGAGATTACATTATCATGTTCATCACAGAATGTGCCATTGACATCAATAAATTCTGACAGGGAGAAAAAGAAGGAGGGGAGGAGAAAAGATAACAGTCCATTGAGATAATACTACCTCATACAAGAGGACCCAGGTGCAAACCCTTATGCATTGATCCACATTCATACCTGCATTGACCCACATTCTGGACTGTTGACCCGTATTTCAGCCCAGCTGACCCTCCTGAAACCTTCATGTCCTTAAACCGGGCAAATAATTGATTAAAACACACTGTTTTGCAATGAAGGTCTACAGTAGTCTCAACAGCAATCTGTAGGGTAGCACCATGGTGTAGCCGGATGACAGCTAGTTTCCGTCCTGCTCTGGGTACATTGACTTCAATAAAAAACCTAGGAGGCTTGTGGTTCTCACCTCCTTCCATAGACTTACACAGTAATTGTGACAATTTACGGAGGATGTCCTCCAACCTATCAGAGCTCTTGAAGCATGAACTGACATGTTGTTCACCCAATCAAAGGATCAGAGAATGAATCTAGTACTGAAAGCATAAGCTACAGCTATCTAGCACTGCAATGCATAAAATGTGATGAGTAGTTGACTCAAAGAGATAGAAAGACAATAGTTGAACATTTTTGGACAAATTAATGTATTACAAAATGAAGGAAAAGCACGGTTTCCATATGTTTGATGCCATTCCATTTGCTCCGTCCAGCCATTATTATGAGCAGTCCTCCCCTCAGCAGCCTCCACTGACATCTAGCTAGTTTAGCCTACTCAAACACCCAGCTCAAACAGAGAGGGATTATATGTTAGCTAGCTGGCTATGGCTATCCAACACTGGAACTCTTCCAAGTCAAGGTAAGCTTTTGGTTTTATTAATTTATTAACACCGGGGCCCACCGGTTTAACTGCTAAACTGCTTGCTGACTGTACACTGTACTGCATGATTGTAGCGGGTTTACTAACGCATTCGTTCTAGTAGCTATGTTGATTACGACGTTAGCTAATATGGTGACAATGATGTAGGCTGTGTGTAGCGGTTAGAGGTTATGATATGAAGGTTTGGCTTGGAAAGGTTTTTTCTCCTGGTCACAGACAGCTGATGTGTTGTGCACTGAAGTCCACGCGATGGGAAAAGATGAGAGGAGGAGTGTGCGTAGATGTGAGAAGGAATTATACAACGATCAAAGGGATCATGCTGTTTGTATGTGGCTGCTATGAAACTGTGTTTGCGTGTGATCAGGGATCATTCCGCCGATTCTGTTGAAAAACGTTTCTTAAACTGAAGCAAACGGAACGAAACGGGGATACAATACCTGAATTTGTCCAATAGAAACTCTAGTTTGCAACTGTTGGACTAATGATTACACCCTAGATCAGCTAGATGCAGGCAAGAGTGTGCAAGGCGGTATTAAATGTGTTAATGTCTGTCACCTTGATTACTTAAATTTCTCTCGACCTGAGCACCTACGTTGTAAACTTTCATAAGCTAGGTTGTAGCAACCTCATGATGGGGTATAGGTAACATTTTAGTATCAAGTAGTAGCCTAAACTTATCGATGTTACATTGAGATGGGTGAATGGAATATGAATGACAGTCATCTAATATGCTGTAATAGAAATAAGGCCATGCTCGTAAAAAATAACATAATCCTCCCTCATCTTAAACGGCACCGACCGCCACTGGTTTGCACATACCATTTTGAATGACTTACAGATAACATATGTAAATAGAATAGAGAAAACAGGTTAAAAAAAAAGTGATATAGGATAATAATATGCCATTTAGCAGACGCTTTTATCCAAAGTGACTTACAGTCATGCGTGCATACATTTTTGTGTATGGGTGGTCCCGGGGATCGAACCCACTACCTTGGCGTTACAAGCACCGTGCTCTACCAGCTGAGCTACAGACAAAATATTTGTGCACCCCCTCTCTGCACTCACTGAATTGTTTTGTGTGGAAATCACAAGTCAAGATTCCACTGTGCTGATTCCCTCTTGCAGGGTTAAATGGAAAATCCACTAAAAAACTAGATTTTGGTATTTATTTCATTAGTCCACTGTTTAGACAGTCCCAGAATGTTTTGCATGTCATCAGTCAAATGTTCAAGATATTGGACTTTCAAGAAGCAAAGTGTCACACCGGCCACATCATCATGATGATGCAAAATGCATTCATCTCAGGGGTCAAAGGTAAGATAATGTCAGGAAAATCCCCAGGTAATATTGGCAGCGATACTCTATATAATGACAAGATGGTCTTGTCTCCGCCCTAACAATGGGAGTCATTGTCACAAAGATGGAAAGGCAGGCGGGAGGAGGCGAGATCAGGTGGGAAGAATCTAGCTCAGGGGATCCCAAACTCGGTCCTGGGGCCCCCATTGGGTGCACAGCTTGATGATGAGTTGGTTATTTGAATCAGCTGTGCTAGGGCAAAAACCAAAATGTACACCCAGGGGGGCCCCAGGACCAAGTTTGGGAAACCCTGTTTTAGCCAATGAGAAGCCAATATAAATAGTTTTCTCAAAGTTGCCATGTGCGTCCACTTATATTCGTACATTTGTAACAACCTAAACATTACAAAACTTCTGTTCGATCAAATAAACCTCACTTAGCAAATTAGCAATAAAAAATGTTGTTGACCAAATCTGACACTCATATACAGCCACACAAAAAGAGGAGTCTAACTTTGCCTCTTCCTCTCTGATATTAGCCATGTTTGAGAGCATCAAATCCGTGATGTATCATGGGTAAATTGTGACTGACTGATCTACAAATAATATTGAGTAGTTACTTATGATGCAAGATGATTTGTAAATCAGTCAGTCTGGACTCGTCTTTAAAGTCATCTGCGCCAATTGTATTTAGAGCAATGTCATTGGGTGCGTTCGAGCAGATCACTTTTGTCAAGTCGTCACCGTCTTTCAAAATGTGTTGCATTATGGGGACAAAAATTGTCCGACTTGCGCCTACATGTCGACTGCATGTACTTTACATAAATCATGTGATCAAAGGTCATGTAGTTGACTGCAGTCGACTGAACGTTTCTGCAGTTGCTCTTCACCAACTTCATCCTGCAGCCATAGGTTGCCTTGTGGGAGGCTCTATTGTCAGCCAATCATTACAATTTTTTGTTTGACCTACACAAACGTGACCAAAGACTTGACTGAAACAGGAACCAACTGCCGCCATTCATGTATACAGTGATATACAAATGAATGTGACATTTGAGACTAATTGATTGTACAATGTACACACATTTGATTTCAGTTTGTGAGTGTGATATGGGGGTTGGAGGCATGTTTATTTCGACATTGTTAAGAAAATGACAATACTGCCATGTTGCTGATGGAACACCAGTGTCTGACGTTCGGCTGTCGCAGCTGCACCTCCCCAGACCGTTCGGCTGTCGCAGCTGCACCTCCCCAGACTGTTCGGCTGTCGCAGCTGCACCTCCCCAGACCGTTCGGCTGTCGCAGCTGCACCTCCCCAGACTGTTCGGCTGTCGCAGCTGCACCTCCCCAGACCGTTCGGCTGTCGCAGCTGCACCTCCCCAGACTGTTCGGCTGTCGCAGCTGCACCTCCCCAGACCGTTCGGCTGTCGCAGCTGCACCTCCCCAGACTGTTCGGCTGTCGCAGCTGCACCTCCCCAGACCGTTCGGCTGTCGCAGCTGCACCTCCCCAGACTTTCGTCAGATGCTTCAGCCTTACCACTCAAACAAGCCCTTTGAGACAGCATGTCAGATTTTACAGATTAATGCAAATAAACGAGTGCTCCCTAGTGGTCAACCATGGAATAGCCCTTGACACAAACCCCAACTCTGGTGGAAGAGGAAAAAGTTCAGGCAAAAAATGGTGTATGTGTGGGTCTGACATTATTATAAAGGAATGCTACAGGGCCAATAGTAGCGAGCCACTCCTTGAGATAATGGTAGCAGAATAAAAAACAACGTATGTTTAACCAGATTTAATATTTTTAAAACATTGGGTTCGGAAAAAAGTACAAAAAGTGATCAGTACGCCACAGTATGAAACCAGCTCAGTTTGGTCCAGAGCTGTAAAGTGAAAGGTGTGTTCCTTTATAAAGCGTATTCTACAGATGTATTTATATAATTAACCAGCCTTACACATACTCACTAAAACCGATACAAGTTACACATTTTAAATACATAGGCTGACCCCTGTAATACCTTTACATGTTAAAAAAATAATAAAAATAATGGGAAAAGTACATTACAGCAGGGGTTCTCAACTGTTTGGGGCAGGGGCCTCCTTTTGTCATTGCAAATTCATCAAGGACCCCCTCTTAACCAGAACACAACTCAAGTGAGAAAAAGTTGCATACAAGCTAATACCCTGCAATTCTACACATTTTGCCATGAGGCAGAGATACAACTTCGCAGTTTTAAAGCTTTAATTACAGTGCATTTATGTTCTGCATTTTCTTGGGGGGGGGGGGGGGGGGGGGGGGGGGGCAAAGTTCCCAAGAGTTAAGAACATAAATTGTAGATTAATAATACTACACCCTCTAAACTTAATCCATGGATCAAAATGGAATCTGTAGTTAGTAATATTACATTTTTTAAATGTAAAAACATGTTTTTGTTGATCTGGCTGCAGACCTCCTGCAGTATCTCCCCCAGGGGCCCGTGGACCCCAATTTGAGAACCTCTACATTACAGTACAGGAGACCACAATGCCAACCTGTATATGGCAGTAAGTCATGCAAATCGTTCCACTACAGAAAAACAGCAAAGCACTACCGCTGTCACACAGTGAGAAAGAGGGCAGCTGGGAGGTGTCTCTACAAAACAAAGTTTAAAAATATCTCTCGTAGAGTTCATGGTTTTTGGACTTGAACGTCGAGGGAGGTCTCTGCTGCTGGGCAGCAATGCTGTTGTCAGTCACCCTGTTGACATTTGCATACATAGTAAGTTGAGAAGGGTCTCCAATAAGGAGGAGAGTTCCTCTTCCATAATTACGTCCATTTAGAAAAATATAATTAATATGTTACGAGAAAGTTGCTGTTGAAGAAAAAAAATCTCCCAAACCTGGGAAATGCTCTGAGTATGTGGTGAGAAAAAACAAAAGCTACAAAATGTAATTGAATAAATAAAATTGCATGACATCCGTAAAAATCAAGTGGGATCTGTGATGTTGACAGAATTGTATCCACCTTGCGCAAAACATGCTGTTGGACCCGGGCAGTGTTAACGAGGCTCTCTCCTCTCCTCCCTCCACAGTCACATCACATGGCAGATTAAAACTCAGGGTTAAAACATGTTGAAATTTGGAGGATGCGTCCTTATTGTCACGTCAACATGAAAGAGGATTTCCATATACAGCATGGTCACCAGTTTTCCAACAAAGAACATAACTGAAAAGGATCAAAACGATTGAGAAAACACAGGAAGGAGGGAGGGAAAGGTAGAATGGCATCAGGCTTTCACAGCGTTAAAACAATGAAGCCACTCTGAGCCGTGGTTGGGTGGGCTTGTCGTTACGGTAACAGCAGTGAACTCCCTGTCCTGTCAAATTTCTTGCCCTTTGAGAGGGCGGCCACTTGTTTCAGCAGCTCCCGGTTTTTGGCCTGTAGTAAAAGAAAATAAGTGAGTATGTGACCATCTGTGTTTAATGAAAGCCTTTACCACAAGCTAGGAGCGTTTGATTACAGTGCCTTCAAAGTATTCACACCCCTTGACTTTTCCCACAGTTTTGTTGTGTTACAGCCTGAATTTAAAAAGGGATTAAAGTGAGATTTTGTTTGTGCAAATTAAAAATGAAAAGCCTTTAGTCCAAAAGCATTCAACCCCTTTGTTATGGCAAGCCTAAATAAGTTCAGGCGTAAAAATGTGCTTAAAAATTCACATAAGTTGCACGGACTCACTATGTGCAATAAGTGTTTCACATGATTTTTAAATGACTACCTCATCTCTGTATCCCACCAGAGAATGTGAGCGGTTGGAAATGAGCACCGCTCCGGTGCTCCACGTCATTCCCTACCACTCCGCTAAATAACCGCTCCGCGCTCACAAAAATAAATTAAAAAAAACACGCCTCTCCAAATTCACTCCGTTCATTAAAATTATAATTTAACCAACACCCATCTATTTTTGATACTACCTGGACCTACCAATTGGTTTGTAAGCATTGAAACCAAACCATATGGATTTGAATGAAAAGTATTTGAATAAACATGAAAAGGTGAATGTAAGAAGCGCTCATAATTTCAAATAGGCTACATGTCATATTAAACAGCATATAAACACTAAATAGGTCAGGAGCCAGACAGGGAGCCTAAGAAGGAACACAAATGAATTATTTAAAGCTATATTATTTCAATTATTTCAAGGCTATAGCCTACAAAGAAATACATTGTGAAGCATTTGCGAGTAGGACATAATAGGCTGGTGGGACAAACATTTTGTTGTTTTAAATCATTATAGTCTATAAATTGTGCATATAGGCTGTGACTTAGAATGAAATACAAATTATTAGTGCCTTTAAATTCATTTTTAGAAACACGAGTTTGGCCAATCTGTGGCTTCAGGCTCATGCGATGGTGTCTGGAGAGCCCGCCAGCAGCAGAGAATATCCTCTCCACACTTCCAGAGCCACTGAGGATGCTAAACACCCTTTTGGCCACTCTTGCCAGGCTGGGCAGAGATGCAGAGTTGTTTTCTTATTTTTCTATAGGTAGGCCTAAATGTTCAGGCAAAATAACCCAATCAAAACGGAAAGCTCCTTGAACGTGGGAATATGCCAGGCCTATTGGGCCAAAATAAATTATGGCCTATTGTATTGATAATAGAACGAAAATGAATGAAATGTTTAAGAGATCTGATTTTTTGTTTATAAATACTTTGCTACAATGACACAGTTATCTACCCACCTCGTTCCTTTCTTTTAGCATGTGTACATAGTAAGTACACCATCATGCTTTCAGGATACGTGTATCAATACACTAAGTCACTAGAAAGATAGACGTCCTTCCTAACTCCGTTGCGGAGAGAAATTAAACCGTTCAGGGATTTCACCATGACAGTTACAGAGTTTAATGGCTGTGATAGGAGAAAACATTGTTGGGGCTCCCGAGTGGCGCAGTGGTCTAAGGCACTGCATCTCAGTGCCCCTGGTTCGATTGCAGGCTGTATCACAACTGGCCGTGATTGGGAGTCCCATAGGGCAGCGCACAATTGGCCCAGCGTCGTCCGGCTTTGGCCGTCATTGGTTCTTAACTGACTTGCCTAGTCAAATAAAGGTTAAATTAAAAAAATGTGTAGTTATTACTCCACAATACTAACTTAATTGACAGTGTGAAAAGGAGGAAGCCTGTGCAGAATAAAAATATTCCAAAACATGCATGTTTGTTTTTACAACACGGCACTAAAGTAATACTGCAAACAAAATGTGGCAAAGCAATTCAGTTTTTGTCCTGAATACAAAGTGTTATGTTTGGGACAAATCCAATACAACACATTACTGAGTACCACTCTCCATATTTTCAAGCATAGTGGTGGCTGCATCATGTTATTGGTATGCTTGTAATCGTTAAGGACTGGGGAGTTTCAGGAAGAAAAAAAACAGAATGGAGCTAAGCGCAGGCAAAATCCTAGAGGAAAACCTGGTTCAGTCTGCTTTCCACCAGACACTGGGAGATTAATTCACCTGTCAGCAGGACAATAGCCTGAAACACAAGGCCAAATCTACACTGGAGTTGCTTACCAAGAAGACAGTGAGTGGCCGAGTAACAGTGTTGACTTAAATCTGCTTAAATCTATGGCAAGAACTGACAATGGTTGTCTAGCAATGATCAACAACCAATTTAACTGAGCTTGAAGAATTCTGAAAATAATAAAAATGGGCAAATGTTGCACAATCCAGATGTGGAACGCTCTTAGAGACTTACCCAGTAAGACTCACAGCTGTAATCACTGCCAACGGTGCTTCTACAAAGTATTGACTCAGGGATATACTTATGTAAATTAGATTTATGTATTTCATTTTAAATACATTTGCAAACATGTTTTCACTTTGTCATTATGGGGTATTGTGTGTAGATGGATGAGAAGAACAAATCTATTTAATCCATTTTGAATTCAGGCTGTAACATCAAAATGTGGAATAAGTCAAGGGGTATGAATACTATCTGAAGGCATTGTACATCCTACTGTGCCTCTAACTTGTTAGGAAAGTTGTTTTAATCCTATGTGCTTGAGAGGGTCCATGTCAACATATTGTGCTGGAACTTAATAACCAGGTTTCCATCTAACCTTTTTATGGGAGTAAAGAACATGTCAGATTTTTTTATTTTTATATGACAGGCATGATGGAAACAATTAGTCCGGAAACTTTCCAAATGGCTACAAAACGAAATTCGCTAGACAAGGTGGGACCTTTTTTTGTCAGTAAAATTAATTATGCAAGAAATGTCAGTGGAAACGCTTTTATGCACAAATATTGATACAATAACCATCATATCAAAGTAAACTTGGAGTCACGCGATGACTCGGGAAAGTATGCAGTTTATTAGGCTAGATGAAATAAGCTATGATGAACTTCACAGGGTGGTGCAAGGTGATGAGCTTGATGCTCCTTTCCAATAAAAGTCAAGGGTCTTATTCTTTGACAAATAAAAATAATCTCGCTCTTTCGTCCAAAAATCATGTAGGCTATACCCGCACTGTATCTGCCAGCTGTTGGCTAGAGCGCACATGCCAATACCAGAGTGGGCACACTCGCTATATAACACAAAATGTTTTGAGAGAAAACCATCAGAGTTTAAAAAATAAATAGATGGAAACCCATTTAACTTGGATTTTTTTTTATTCGGTACATGGGAACTTAACTGCAAAAGGTATTCTATATGCACCATGTCATCACGCACAGCCTTTTATGACCAACGAGTCAATTTGATGGAAACACATTTGGTGGAAAAATGTGTGTATTATTTTTATGCAGATTTTAGAATATTTGCATGAAAATGTGTTGCCAATTGGATGGAAATCTAGCTAGCGGCCCACACGATGTCAGTTTTTTTTTGTGTGTATGGTGGTTTTTACTCTACCTGTTGCTGTTCCATGGCCTCTTTGTGTGCCTTCTCCATGTTATTCATCTTAACCCTCATGTTGGATTCCTGGTACTGGAAGTCTGCTTTGATTTCTGTGAGCTGGAAGTACAAAACAAAGAGGGAGACGATCTGGTGAATACAACATGACCAAAAGTCACATGTAGGTAGGGGTAAAGTGACTATGCATAGATAATAAACAGCGAGCAGCAGCAGTGTAAAAACAATGCACATTTTCCAGGTGGCCATTTGATTAATTGTTCAGCAGTCTTATGGCTTGGGGGTAGAAGCTGTTAAGGAGCCTTTTGGACCTAGACTTGGCGCTCCGGTACCGCTTGCTGTGCGGTAACAGAGAGAACAGTCTATGACTTGGGTGGCTGGAGTCAGATAATTATTTGGGCCTTCCTCTGACACCGCCTAGTATAGAGGTCCTGGATGGCAGGAAGCTTGTAGCGCCTTACGGTCGGATGCCGAGTTGCCATACCAACCAGTGATGCTACCGATCAGGATGCTTTCGATGGTGCAGCTGTAGAACTTTTTGAGAATCTGGGGACCCATAACAAATCTTTTCAGTCTCCTGAGGGGGAATAGGCGTTGTCGTGCCCTCTTCACGACTGTCTTGGTGTGTTTGGACCATGATAGTTTGTTGGTGATGTGGACACCAAGGAACTTGAAGCTCTCAACCCGCTCCACTACAGCCCTGTTGATGTGAATGGGAGCCTGTTCGGCCCTCCTTTTACTGTAGTCCACGATCGGCTCCTTTGTCTTGCTCACGTTGAGGGAGAGGTTGTTGTCCTGGCACCACACTGCCAGGTCTCTGACCTCCTCCCTATAGGCTGTCTCATTGTCGTCGGTGATCAGGCCTACCACCGTTGTGTCGTCAACAAACTTAATGATGGTGTTGGAGTCGTGCCTGGCCACGCAGTCGTGGGTGAACAGGGAGTACAGGAGGGGACTAAGCTTGAGGATCAGCGCGGCAGATGTGTTGTTGCCTACCCTTACCACCTGGGGGCAGCCCATCTCAGCAGTGGTTGTTTAGGGGCATGTATTACTGTGAAGATACAATTAAGTGTGTACCTTTCGGTCCTTCTCCAGTATTGTCTGATCCCTCTGCTGAAGCATTCTCTTTAATGACATCACTTCCTCTTTCAGCTGGCTGATCAGAATGAAGTTGTCCGTTCCTCCAGAATCCATAGATTGGGTGATGGAACTACTGATGGGAGAGAGGAGAGAGAGAGAAGGGAAGAAAAGTTAGATTGTCAGAAAAAGGAAAGTACCTGGACTCAGATATTTTTCCACACTGACCCACTTTGTGCCATTACCTGCTCCAACAACACCTTGATGGCAACTATCACAGAGATGTGTTAGAACCATGAAGGCCAAAAAAGTGTCAGTAGGAACCTACTGGATGTTTGCCCTGTTTACTTCAAAAGTTAGAACCGGTTTGTAACTCCTTACATGTGATTGAAACTCCTCTCGTACCTGTCCCCGTTGGATGGCTTCACCTCCAGTTTTGGCTTCTTCTTTGGGGTCTCCTTCTGGATCGAAGACGATTTATGGCTGAGGGGAGAACCAACACACAACTTTAGCCACGGAGGCTCTCCATCAGACCTGTAAAGTATCCCAGAGTATGCCATAGTTCAACTAAGTTGCATTACTAGGCAAATAGCCTTGTCATAACAGTCAATAAAGACTGGGGAATGTGATTCAGAGAGAGAGGGGGGAAGGTATGTCTCACCTCTGCTTCCACAGTCCCTGCTCCTGTTCTGGACTTAGGCTCCCACTGAGTCTACAAAAAGACAAACAAAAAAAACACCAAGTCATCAGAGATTTTTCCCTTCCACCATGTTCCTTCCCATATCTGACACATGCATCATTACTCAGAGACCACTACATCCTTCCAAAAAGTGCCCGTTCAGCACAATACATATACAGTATTGTGACAGAGTAGAGACCTGCGGAAGACCCGCATCACAGAGGATGTAATGGCCTAACATATAGAGGACAGGGTTGTGGCACCATGGCCTACTTATGTGAGCTGCTGTGTCTGTGCTGCTGGTGGTGTTGATGATGCTGTCTGGAGTGGTGGTCCTTCTCATTGAGCGAGGAGGTGTTGGAGTGGGAGGAGCTGAAGCCTTTCCTTTGCTCCTTGGTCTTCTGCAGCACACGGCGGTAGGACAGAGTGCATAGCCAGCACAGCAGCTTCCCATCCACCTGACAACACACACAGGACAGTGGAAAATGGTGAATACGCGACCCAATGAGTGTTGGACAATGTGTGTTAGGGTATCAATGCAGCAGGTGTCTGTGCCTACCTTTCTCCTGCCCTCCTCCTTGCGGTCAAATGCGCACTGTTGTTTGCACTGCTCGCAGGTCTGTGGAGGGCCATACTTCTTCTCCGAGTTAGTGCAACGCTGACACTTTGTCCCGATGAAAGCAGCAATGATGTTACAGTACTGGCAGGGTTTAGGCTGCGTGGGAAACAACAGAAGATTTGGCAAACATCACCTTAACTGAGTCAACACATACTGTACAATTATAACAGATGCTTCAATTCAAGTCAAAACTTACCGTCCCAAACTGCTTTACATTCTGGGCACACTTCTTGCAAATGGTGTTTGTTTTGCTGGAATAGAGAATGTGAAAAAGAAATCGCATCAACATCCTGGAACCAATGTTATCACTATATTACATGGTGATACCTTTGGAATAATAATACCATGTACAGTAAAGGTGGTGGAGCAGAACTCGCCTCTCCTGCTGAAACTCTGATCTGCAGTATGTACACTTGACGATGGGATGAGCGATGCGACACTCCTGTTGACACAAGAAACAAAGCATTTGAGGGATTCATCTGTTGGAGAGTTTATTCAGCCCTTTCAAGGCCAATTGCTTAAAAATAAATACAAAAATATACAAATGTAGGCCATAACATTTTAAGAATTCACTTAAATGTTTGTATTGCGTTATGCATTTTTTAAAACAATTATTAACCATTAATGGAATAGTGTGCTTACAAAGGCACCTTATATTCAGACACAGGTTTTCAAGCCTTCTGCCCAGTATGTGTGGTGGTGTGCTTATTATGGCAATGTGAAATATGTATTTCCAACGCACCAGCATGAATAGCAAAATGTATTAAAATGTTACCATTTGCCACTGGAATTATAACTCGATTTCTGCCCATTGCATTTACAATTTATGTGGAACATAGCCTACACTACTGGCCGAAGAGGGATGGTACACTGAGCCCCCTGGAATTACATTTTGTAGCTGCCGGTAGGTTAAAGACACCGACGCTGTGGCTACATTGATGATAAAATATACTTATTTGTAAGGGGCATGAAGTGTAAACAAATGCTAAATTAACAGGTCATGGGAGACGTATTGTGAAAAGATCTTGCTAGCTAACAAATGTTTATCTGACGTTATTTTGTCTGCTACACCCAGCAGACACTCCATGGGTAGAAAAAACATTTCGCGAATACATTGTATCGTCCTGCGTGACATTATCTAACAAGGTTGCCATTTGCGTCCCAGACAGGTTGCAAGGATAATAGTTAGTTGTTACATAATCTAGCATCAAAGCAATCATCGCTTGCGATAAGTGCTTAATGTGGCCAGAGACCTTATAATTACACATCTAGGGAGCAGTCGAAACACGCGTGAAACATATACGCCTGTAGCAGTTGCTAGCTAATCTATTCATATTGCAAGATATGGTGCTAGTTAACTAGCTAGCAGGTAGCTAGCACCCACACACTTCCAGTCCAAACCTTGCACAGTTGCTGTCCCTGCGACAGTTCTTCGAACGGATACCGCTGGTTACACTTCGTACACGCGTACAGTGCCGATGTTGCCATTATCACCAAGATTAATAAAAAGTCAAAGATAAAAACAAAAAGAGCGAAATAGCTAGTCACCCAGACAATGTGCTGTCAAACAATTTCCACCTTGGTAGCTAACGTTGCTAGCTAAGCCAGCTAGGATAATGCTAAATATTCTCAAATATCTATCATCTCTCTCTATTGGCTAGCTAACATAAGTTACTTGACATAGGTAATCAAAAATACTGATTTAGCATCCGCAAAACTTCTAAACAAGAGTAAATCGTTTTTCGCTGTTCTTAGCTAGCTATTCCTATTTTCCCTTTCTCTTTTTTGTATCCGCAGCATCGTCACTCAGACCGGATACGGTCAACTACAGAAGAAAGAGAAGCCAATCATGACGCATTATCAGTGCGCGGGACTTTGTATTTTGAAACACAGGAGCCAATCACAGAGCAAAACAACACAGCGATTAAGTTCCACTTAGCTGCCTCAATTTGTATTACTGTGATAAGAGGAATATGGAAACAAAGTAACTAGAATGTATATGTGCAGTGTTACTGTTAGATCTTTTAATTATAAAAGGTAGCTAAATGTAATTAAATGGCACTGTCAGGTGTCTGGGGATAAAATATAATCTATTCATACCATTTTGTTAATTGTCACTGTCATTCTGAAAATAACAGGCAATGCAATGGTACTATGAATTCTGATGAAGATTGAGTTCACAACACACATTTAATTTGTTGTGGTCTTTTATTTATTATTAAATTAAGTCAACAGCAACCGGTGCCAATCCCGGATCAAAGAGCAAAGTAAATCCAGGCTGGATAAACTGCTGACGTACTGAGCCATATGCTGTGGTTCACAGGCAATATAAAGTACTTTGTCATGTTCTATCTACTGTATCTACCTACCTACCTACTAACAATCTATTGGTGATCATAATATAGGACAATAAATCGTTTTCTTTTATTTCCTATTTTGCAAATTACCATTTAAACAAAAACAAATTATTTATCAAAATATCACGGTCAAACATGTATTGTTGACAGACGGGTTACAGTCCATGGTAGTCACCTTGCTCTAAGTTAATGGCTTGCAATTAAATTGACCATACAATTATCATGCTATTCTACTAACACACATAAATATTAGTTAAACAGTTACTGATTTATATTGATTAAGGATGTGCCCTTGCGAGACCATGAAAAAGGCCACTTCATCATTGCACTAGTGGGGAATGAGCCACACTACTTTTCCTCTGGTTCGTTATCAGATCACTGTTCAAAGACAAAACCCTGTTGTTAAACAAAAGTGCAAAGCTCTACATCACTGTGAGAGGCATGTTGTTGGCGAGTCTTAACATCTTACGTGGAGGAATGGTTAGTGCCATCTGTGGCATTCAGATTCTAGTTTCTGTAGAATGAGTTATTCTATACATATGCAGCATTTATTAACAACCTGTGGGTATGACCTTTCAACTAAACCATATCATGCACATTGTCAATTTTGCTGATCTGATTTTCTGAGTAAACAGTCTGCAACGTGATGTAGACATCATCACCATCATCACCAAAGCCCTCAAGTTATCACCTAATTAGAACTGAGACTCAGAGCTCAGTATAAGCCTAAAAGTCTATGGTATAAACTGTACACACAACCCAGGCTAAGGGAATGGAAATAGTATGTAGTTAACTTGCTAGTAAAAATAATTCAACAGCTTAAAAAACATCAACATACTGATCAGATGGAATGTCATACATAACTATACACCCACATTCATACCTATTTGGTCAAAATATGTGTCCATTCAGTAACTATTTTCTCAGCTTCAAAACCATTTGCAGAGACATTTCTGATGTCAAAACCTATTTGGAATATGTCAAGTAGACATAACATAAAATTGCTTAAATATCATAGCTTTTTTTAAACAATTCTCCACCTCGCTTTCACAATGGAGAAATTAATTGAGCATTTACTTTTAGTGTGTTAGCTACTTGTTTTATCCTATTAATCATTTAGTGTACTTATTACTTTAGAATAAACGAATGCATTAATACTGGATGTAGTTCAGCTGATATGCTATAGCATACTTGTGAGGGCTTATTTGATGATCATTATATGTTACAGTACTCTTGATCCAGTAGCAGAGGTCTGCGAAGTATGGCTGTAGTGAGGTGGTCTCATAGAGATAGATAGAGGACTCATCTTTATATCTGTGCCATTATAGCGTCTGTGACAGCATGGGCAGCGCCATTGAGGCTACAACCCATAGGAATCCCCACCCTGTTGACTACTTTGATTACTTTAAAATGCTGGAAGCATGGTGGAAGCCTTTAATGGTGCTGCCCATGCTAAAACGGCCTTTTGGCCACTAGAGGCCTCTGTTATTGTCTATGGGTGGTCTGAAACAGAGGCAGCTCTGTTTGGTGCATCAGCAACATAGGGTTCTTACCATAGACATATAAATTAAAATTCTTATTCTATTTCTATGGTTCTGACCCTGTACAACCTCAGCTGTTGGAGTAGCAGTGAGGTGGAACAGCCAAAGGCCAATACATGGTTTCTACAGACACTTGGTGGTTGCTTTTCTTCCTACAGGAATGTGTCATGCCAAGCAGGAGTGTGTGACGCAGCAAGTCCCCTGCAGTGCTGTCTACTGGTTGTGGGCATGGCACCTTATCGTTGTGGGGCCTCAGTCCTCAGCCTTACTCTATAACCCGCCTGTCAAACTACGTTTGTCAAACAAAGGTCTGAACAGGAGTGATGGAGCGGGTGGGCGAGCCCGCCCTCTCAGAGGAGGCAGAGCGATTGGTCACATCTCTCTGCAGCTTCTCCACCCTCTTCTGAAGCTCCGCCCGCTTCGCCAGCAGCTCCTTGTAGCGCTGGTGAACAGGCTCCTGGGAATAAGGTACACAAACAATAGTGGTCAACACTAGAACATAACTATGCTATAACAAGCATATGAACTGCCATTTATACTCATAATAACAAGGCAACAGTAACCATGTCATCCCCCACAAATGATGCAGCCCCCCCAGGCCAATTGAGATATTGTGTGTGAGTAACACATTTTTGTTAATTACTATAGCTCCCACCTTGGGCCAATCAGTGTAATTTTGTAAATGCCGGTTCTTTATGGCAAGACGCATCATTCACCCAACTTTGGTCGAAATCGGGCCAGTGCTGTCTGAGATATCGAGTGTGACTAACATACTAACGGACAGAGAGAGATCCATAGACCCCTCCCCGATTTCATTCAGGGAGACAATTATACAAGATAGCATAAATATTACTACTATCACCATTATTATTCCTACTATGAAAGTGAGGTATTTTGCCCAGACCTGTGGCCTCATGCGAGGATTCCAGCGGATGTAGTAGCCCACCCAGAGCTCCAGGTGGCGCATGCTGACCACTGGGAACAGCACATGGTTAGAATAGTTGACATACAGAGGGTTGGTGAACTCCTCTAGCTGGCTGTTGATGTAGGCCCACAGAGAAACTGTCTTCTTAGGCAGCTCCTGCAGAACAATTAGATGTATGAGGTGTTGGTTTTAACATTTGCAAATAAAACATATCACTTAGCATATTCCTATTAGCACTGTTTGAACAACCGTGTATGAAATGTCATCCATGAGAGACAGTCAAATAAACAAGTTTAGTTTCAGGTTTTCTGAATTGCACTCCATCCCAGTGGTGTTTAAACCTAACATATAGTCTGCACTCTCACCTCCTTCACCCTTTGCTGTTCACTGTTACACATGAATGTCCCAAACAGGCAGCTGTACAGGTGGTCCAGGATGGTGACCAGGAAGTACTCGTTGAACTCAAAGGCTGCAGGAAACTAAACAACAACAGTTAAATTATAATCCATATACAATCAGGAGAATCCAGAGGGATTATGTACATCAGTAAAACATCCCCTGTGTAATTTGTGTACCTTATTACTAGGGCCTGGAATTTTTTCTGGTCAGGTCACGACTACACATCAACACCCCCAACCAGTGATGTCACTCACCTGTCGGGTAATCTGCCACACACAGTCAATGAACTGCAGGAAGACAGGCGAGCGGTCTGCGTCTGTGTGGTTCTTATCCCCATGACCGATCCTCTGGAAGGAGAGGGGGGAAGAGGGAGAAGAACAGGAAGTCAAGTGACCGTAATGGCTGAACAAAACACAAGAAACAGGAAGGGTAAAGCTGTGCCATGCACGATGGTTGACCCATGTCAAATCAAATCAAATCACATTTTATTGGTCACATACACATATTTAGCAGATGTTATTGTGGGTGTAGCGAAATGCTTGTGTTCCTAGCTCCAACAGTGCAGTTATATCTAACAATTCACAACAATACACACAAATCTAAAAGTAAAATAATGGAATTAAGAAATATATAAATATTAGGACGAGCAATGTTGGAGTGGCATTGACTCAAATACAGTAGAATAGAAAATGAGGAAATGAGTAAGGAAATTAGGAAGCCACCCAGAGTTTCAAACCATTTCAACTTCTCTTACCACATGAGAATGGCCAAAGCATTTCCAAAATGTAAATGAATAATCAAGAGAATGTGTCCCAAGTGTTATGGCTTGATATAAGGAACAATACACAGTGAGAGGGAGTAAAGGCTTATTTACCAGCTGGAAGCGGTGGCCAAAGCTCAGCCACTCTTTCTCCAGCAGCACCTGGAAGCCGCGGATGGTGCGGTAGTGTCCGTCCAGCATCATCATGGCCAGGGAGGTGAGCTGGGCCGTACGGTCCCATCCATCACTGCAGTGAACTACCACTGACGTCTTCCCAGACTCCACCTTGTCTGCAATACGCAGCGCCCCAGCCAGGATCAGCTACACAGGGCACAGACAGACAGGTTCAACAAATAATCTCAACCATGATTTTTTTTCTCTCCCTTCTGTCCTCACCTTGATGTGCTCCAGCCAATGAGTGGACTCGAGGTTGGAGAGCCAATGGGACTCCTCGATGTTGGGATAGACCACCTCCTTCAGTTTGCGCAGTGACTCTCTCATTACGTGGATGTTGTGGATATCCAAGAACACCAGCTCTGCATTCTGATATGCATCCTCACTCTCATAGCCACCCCCTTTCATCTGAGGAGAACGCAGAGAATGTAGTCATCTCTTGGAATTGAATATACTCTGAATAGTTTTCATAATTACAGAATGTGAGAGGAGATCAAAATCAAATCCAAATAAAATAACGCTATGGGTTGAGCATTGAACAGTATAGGCATTGGGTGTGGGAAATTCACTTTGACTCAAAATAAAACATGATTATTATTACTAATTACATACCTTGTTGGCGGCAGCATTGACGCTAGGCCTGGCATCGAAGATGAAGAGCTTGTGGGACTGAGCGTTGGCATCCATGATGGCCTGGAGGTACTTCTCATCGTCTTTGCTGCGCTTGCCGTTGACCCCGACCATGGGCTGACTACAGCGGGTCACTGTGGCCTGGCTCTCTGGGTGGATCCACGACAGAACCTGCACAGCACACAGCCGAGGCATTGGCACGGAGAGTAACACAAGACCACAGGCACTACATCAACGTACTACTACAGAGGTACCACAGACAGTTAAAGAGTGGGGACAGTGTGAAGTGTAAATGTTAACTCACAGGTATCCTGCCCTTGGCTCTGAAGGCAGCCACTCTCTTCAGCTCCTCATCTGGGATGTTGACAGGCACCACCAGGGTTGATGGGTAAGTGTCACACAGCTCGTAGTGATCATTCACTTTAGTTATCCTCCAGCTCTCGTTGGGTAATCCCTATACACACACACACACACACGCGAGTATAAAGACATTTCAAACAACTCATACCTAAAGCCCAGATTTTCGGAATCTTTCAAATACCTGTCTTTTGTATTCCGCTTGAGCATCATACACTTTCCAACCATTTTCAGGATAGACCTGCCCATACTCAAAGGCAAAGGTTGGCTGTGGATGACAGAGGGAAAAAACAGTCAGTCAGTTGGCCCTGGGCCTTTACATACAGCACACAGAAACAGACCATGGGCAGCAGGCCTAGTGACTCACTCACCAGACCATTGGAAACAGGAAAGGCAAATTTCATCAGGATCTCGAAAATTGACTTCCTGAGTGAGTCCTCCATCTGCTTGTGTGCAAACCGCAGATTACGGATATCCTGAGGAGATAGATTGACAAGTCACTGTAACCACTGTCAATTACACTCAGAGAAAGAAGAAGTACACTAGAGTGCAGTGATTAGAGTCCGAAGTAAGTATAAGAAAAATAAGAAAAATGCCTGTTCTCTTTGAGAGCAACAAAGATATTATATAATAGTACAAACATCAGGTAAGGGATGTTCCAGACATTTTTGTGGTGGTCACTGCTCACCTTGCAGACCAGCCCATAGGAGACCTCACCACGGCTAGAGGCACCTCCTATCTTCTCCACACGGCTCACTACCCCCAGGGGCAAGTCCAGCACAAACACTGGTTCCTAGGAGACAATGGAAATAATAATAACACTGACTTGACATCCTGAAGGGTGGAATGGAGACAGATCGAAAGCTAAAAAGTATACCCTGTCCATGCATTTGAAGAACAGTCTGTAGTTGGTGACAGTCAATGTCCCCCTCAGTGCACCGATGTAAGGACAAATGTAGGTGACATCTTTGGCTGTTAGAAAATAAAAATAAAAGTTTAAGCAGGTCATTACATTAAACCCGAAATAACCCATAGCTGGGGGGTGGGGGAGATGACCTACCCATGTCTTGCACACTTTCCTTTGGTAGTAACTGTGGTTCTTCTTTGTTTGAATCCCTGAGCACCTGTATATAAAACAATATCCCATGTATAGGTAAAACATACAGAGTAGCCAATAGCACATAGCAAGTTGATTATTTTTACTTAAACGCCAACACAAATCTTTGAGGGAAGAGGGATGGAAGACTATACCTTGGCAACTGCTTTAGGTCTGCCCTGAAATCATTAGGAGAAAAGCAAGAGGGTTAAACGCAGACATGTTTAAGATGCTATTGCTACATTAGTAGACCTAAATCTATGTAAAGTTGTAGGTGAAAAGCCATGTACCAACCCGTAGCTCTGGGGAGAACTCTGTTGAGGTGGACACGTTGTCAGAAGACATTGCATAGGGGGTCTTGGCAGCGTGAGTGGACCGGTCAGAACGAGACGTGGAGGTACTGTCAAGAGAATGGCAGAATACATAATGAGCAGTATGAAATAATACCATACCAAAATTGCTAAAGCAGAAACGAAATGGCTGGCACCAAGCCCAGGGGACTGGAGAATAGATCCACTCTGTATGTTACAGACCCTCTCTGTTTTTCATTCCCCTGGGCTACTTGTACCCAGACTAGATGACTGTGGAATCTGCCATTATGTCTAGCTAACTAGATAACGTTAGTAGTATAAAATAAGGCTGCTTTCTTGGGCAAACTGTTTACCTTCTCGGGCTGCCTGCTATAGCGACTTTTGTAACCCGAATCACAGTATGGTTTAGCTGATACATCAACATCTTTCATTTAATTACACTAGTATAATTAAATATCTTCACTATCGATAATTTTTCGCCACATTTAGATAGCAAGTAGTTAGACAACTATAAAAGCTCCCGTCAATCGACTACACAGGGAGCTAGTTGAACGAGCCCCACCTGGACAATGAATCTACACTGGGCTGCCTTGACGAGGATTCCTTCGAGCCCAGACTGTCGATGCTCCCGCGCTTCTCCATGGTAAATCTTGGTAAAGTTTTCAAATATATGAATTAAGAGGTCTTTGATGCGATTGGGCAGATATCTACATGCAACTGTTTTGATTCCGTCCTTGGTGAAAAGTAAATCCCAGGTACAGACAGGAAGCTGCCATCTTTTCCCAGAGTTCACTATCCATAATAAACAAGGGAGTGGTGTTTGGAGTTGGGGTTAGCGCCCCCTGCCGCCATTACTGGCTATTACATGTAGCCCACCCTTATCATCATCATTATCAACAGCAACATGCTTCTTATGTGGAGAGAAGGTGAAGATGAGGATTGAAAAAGGACACGTACTCAAGACATTGTGTGCAAAATATTTTACAATGTGCACAACTATTAATTAAGAACAAATATAAATATCCAGTGCATGATGTTAACATGTAGATTCAGAATTCACAGAATTATCTCCATTTTTTGGTATTTGGAAATAGGAAAATGCAAACATACATACTGTACAGTACATCAACATAATAACTGAATATAGCTGTTCCAAAAACAAAATGCATATAGACCCTATGCCATTTGTACATGTCACATATTCAAAAAGCAATGTCCAAAGGGGGAGATAATCAACCCCAGATTTAGACAAAACCCTGAAAACAACATTTGGGGTTATACAGGCAAAACAGGGAATCCCCCAAAGTGGTGGTAAAGCCAATTTACCCATTTACATGTTAAGAAAAATCTGTGTGCTATCAACTTGTACATTTATAACTTTAAAAAAGATACAGTTTTACAGTATTATGCATTCCAATCACTAACATTGTTATATACACAATACCACAAAGTATATATTATCAATCCAGCAATCTCACATTGAAGGCAATTTAGACAAAGTAAGGCAAGCTTGTAACATTCTGTTTATAATGTACATGTTTTGACCTGGTAACCCTCAATACCTGCCTGTAAAGATTCACACAAAGTTCAAATATCATTGCGAGAAACTTAAGGCAAAGGATTTTTGTTGTTGTTGAAAAATAAGTTCAAAGCCTGCAGTATTCTCTTCTCCAATTATGTGTAATCAATCCTCTCCCCCTGCTGTCTGCATTGTGTTTTTCTATACCTGCTGCAATGTGACACACTCTAATTATCATTTAGATTTCTGTACACAAATCAGCCACAACACCACACGACAACCTGTAAAATAGGTGTATTTTCAGGTAATAAAATACTGATGATGTAGTTGTTAGTTTGTCTTGCTGTGTCCTAGGACTGGGCCGGAGGGCTACCATTGGTCTCATCGTCCCTTCCCTGCTCTGTCTGTCCATCCTGTTCTCCCTGTTCCGTCTGTCCATTCTGCTCGTCCTGTAGCTGCTCAAACTCTGCATCTAGGTAGTCCAGAGAATCGTTTCCCGGCCACCCCTTAATGTTGAGCTTGTGAGAGACCCTGCCCCACTGTTCTCTATTGCTGGCCACGGTGTCATACAGCTCTGCCGACCTGGGGAACAGGTCCTGGAGGAGTCTGCAGGAGAAGGGAGCAAAGCCGGGAGGAAAGTATAGTCAGACACAAGCTAAGGAGGGTCCACTAATATGTAATATACAACACACAACAGTTCTTATTGTCTGAGATAACAATTACACCCCTCATCTCCCAGATATGGGGGTTAGGGATCAGTCAGAGACTCACTTGTAGATGGGCATGGCTATGTGCTCCATGAAGCCAGTCTGCAGCTCTGGGATGTAGGCCTTCTCCCTGTCCATCATCTCACTGGGACGGTTCCCCATAGCCTTCTCCTGCAGCCACAAGCACAGGGACACACACACACAGGAAATTGTTCATGTTCATGTACTACATGGAGACAGAGAACAATATGATGCATACAATGTTTGGCATTCATAAAAAATTGCATACATACCAGATCTCCTTGAGAAAAGAATTCCTTGTAAATGAGTCCCTGTAACAAAAACAGACATGAGTTTCATGTGAACATACTGCATGGAGGCCTATGCCATTTTACTAAGAACAATCAAATGGATCTAAATGCAATAAAGAAGGTGGGAACACAGTTGGTTTAGGGGCGGCAGGTAGCCTCAAGGTTAGAGCGTTGGGCCAGTAACCGAAAGGTTTCTGTTTCAACTCCCGGAGCCGACAAGGTGAAAATAAAAATATATCGCTGTGCCCTTGAGCAAGACTAATTGCTCCAGGGGTGTGACCCTACGGGTGTCTCAGGGGGAGTTGGGATATGCAACAAAAAAAAACATTTCACACTTGTGTATAAAAGGAAAAATATAAGCACCCCCAAATTATTATTATTATTAGAGGAGTCAGATCTGAGTGGGTTCTTACTGCGATCTTCCAGGTGGTCTTCCAGTCCTTGGTCTGGTCAGAGAGGTCACAGGAGGTCATGATCAGGCACAGTAGCAGGTTATGGTGCTGAGGGTCTTTGGTGTTGTAGCCCACTGGAAGACACAACAGACAGAAGGATTCTAAATAGAAATGGAAGAGCTGTAGAAGCTAATAACTACCTACCTACCTACCGCTTATAAGACACACAGACAGGATGTATGGGGAGGGGGGGTGACTTACCAACTGCCATTTTCTGCAGATCCTTCAGGATCCGCAGGTGATGAGCCAAGTCTGTGGCCAGGATGATGTCCCTCATCAGGTCAAGCATCCTCTGGTAGTCCTGGCAACCAAAAGACAACACAGAAACATTCAAAATAGTACAAAACCAACTAGAAACCTCATGAGAAAAGAGGAATGTCCTTACATTGCCTTTGTCTTACTTTTCTGGAGAACTTCTCAAAGATATTGCAGCCCTGGGTGTTGAGGATGGCGATTGCCTGAGCAAAGTGGTGTCTCTGGAAATGAAAACCAATAGTCAGTGGTGAGGCTGCAATTACATTTCATATCCACTAGAGGATAGCAAAGACCCAGTGCGCAATCAACTCATGTTTTTACCTTTTCCCTTCAGATGAGGGACACGCATAATACATTTCTGTTTCATGAAACTTTGTGTTTACCTCCAGCACAGATCCCTCAGAACTATACAGGCCAGCCAACACAGATTTCTGGAGAAGAGAAGAGAAACAGATAGTTTTTGTAATGCATGCTTCAGTGGCAGTTTGTGTGATTCCAGTAAGCAAAATATATTTTAGGTTCTGAATGAAAGGTGAAAAGACCGTCTTTTCCGGACGTTTAAATTACATACTTTACGGACGTTTAAAATACATATTTTCCGGACGTTTAAAATACGTATTTTCTGGAAGTTAAAAATAGAAAATACGTAATTTACAGATGTTGAAAATACATATTTTTTATTAATTGATTCTATGGCTAAATGTAAAGTGCAACTCCGCCACTTTTAACATTTGGGTTGTTATTATTAAGTATTTAGTGATGTCCTACATAGTGTGTATTATTATGATTTCATGTCTATTGACTGTTTATTGATGAGCAAAACTGTAAATTGCTTCTCTGTGAAGTTTTCAAGTAGAATCTCTGAGATGACTAATCAAATAAATTATGGATAGTCCTTTTCAGCTATCTATATAACCTGTCTGTAGTTTTCTGATCATATTGGAACTCCCTGCTATATATTGCTATGATTGTCTTCCTCCAAAAACCTATAGAATGATATTTATAGTCAGTTTACTCCAATAATGTTATGTTGTTCAAGGCTCAAACTCCCATGACTCCATTTGGCAAAACCACTCCCACCATCACAGACGAAGTTGCAGCTCTGGCCATTGCGTCCTTTCCAAATAACCTATATTTTCGTAGTGAATTACTTGTAAACGTTTTATTAGTTCCAATAGCTCTACAGTGTTGTTGGATGGTTGATTGAAACATCGCTAAGGCTGTATTTGGCTGTTAATGTTGAAAACATTTCAGATGCAGCAGGGTTAGCTACTTTACGTAGCTAGCTAGCATTGCTAATGTTAGCACCAAAGATACAGGCTTTAAACATGAGAGACTAGGATCCTGTAGTGATTTGCCTATACATTTCATAATAAATGCTGTGTAATAAATGTTGTGTTCTAACAGGCCTACGTGTTGTTTGAACTGTTGTTTAAGACAGTCATTAAGATTAAACTTGGCTATTATTGTTGCAAACACTATTATTTTGGGTGTAGCAGTCGGGCTAGCTAGCATGCGATCTGGAGGCACAGTACGGAGGGTGTGATGCAATTGCGGAGCCTCCGAAGGCTTGCGGAGGCCAAATCGAGCTCTGTACCGCATCACCGTGCACCTCCCAAATGTTGTAACAATTACATGATTGGTTGAAGGTAGGTGGGGGCGGTACATCCTGTATAAATACAAACTCACTTCCTGACAACTTCCTTGGAGAGTACCGGGCGACACAGAGCGTAATGAGTGACGGTGGATGGTGGTTGGAAGAGCGCACTTATTTCAAATGGAAAAGCGTCGTGGTAGCTATTGATAAAGAAGAACATCAAGACGCGCTCTGTGGGATGCACTGTTGAGCGCTACATCCCGAGGGGTTTGTGCTGATTGCCAGTTAAATGGCGTCCCTTGAGAAGGCAAGAACAAGATGTATGTCAGCAGAAGTGCAGTATTATCATAAGGAGACGTATACTTGGAATACGGAGGAGGAATGGAGGGAAAAAGAGAGGCAGAGGAGGTCTAAGAGAGCGAGGGAGGAATAGGGTGAGATTGAGTTGGTAAAAAATGGCGGGAAAAAGGGAGATGGTTTGTTAAAGAAGAATGGTAGAAAGTATAAGCAGAGTGAGCTGAAGACAGGAGGAGAAATGGAAGTGAATGAGGGTGAAGTATCGGAGGTGGTAGGTGTGGTGAAGTTCTTGGAGCCTGAGGTTACACGAGGGTCAGGATAAAGATGAGTCTGTAACAGTAGGAATGAAGTTTTTGGAAAAGGTGGAACCTTGTCTTTTGGCTGATCCATTTGTGGTTTCAGGGTGGGTGAAAACAGAGTTGGGTGCTGTGGAATCGGTGAGGGTAACAATAATTGTTTGTGTTTCTGCTCATCAGAGGGAGCAGGTGTCCGCGTTAAACTAATGGTGGCAAGAGATTACTGGGGTAGCAGTAAATGTAAAAGTTGACCAACTGAAGGGGAAGATTCCCGGTGTTTGTGATGCTCGTCGTTTGGTGCGACACAGACAGGGTGGCGAGAGTGGTGAAACAGAAGAGTCGTTGTCTGTTCTTTTGAGTTTTGATGTTGAGTCTTTGCCCGACAAAGTGATGTTAGTATATATAAGTTATCTTGTAAGAGCTTTTGTGCCGAATACATTACGTTGTTACAGGTGTCAAACTTATGGGCATGTGGCAGCAGTGTGTAGGAGGGAGGTTCCTAGGTGTGAGAAGTGTGCAGAAGGGCATGAGACAAAGGAATGTGTAGCATTGGGGAAAGTAGTGGTATCTGTTAATTGTAGGGGTGCCCATGGGGCTGGGGATCAGAAATGTCCCGTGCGAGAGAGGCAGGTTGAGGTTTCCAGGGTTAGAGTAGTGCAGAAGTTGTCATATGCTGAGGCAGTGAAGAAAGTAGAGGAAGATGGGTCAAGGGGGAGGGATCCTGAGAGGAGTGGTGTGAGTAGTACAGAGGGATAGGCCAACAAGTGATATATGTTTCAGTAAGATTGGATTTTTAGCATTTATAGCAATGGTTACCAACTGTACTGCAGGGATGGAACGGAAGTTGCAGAAAATTGAGGTTGTAGTGGCAGCAGCAGAGAGGTATTTGGGTGTGCGAGACTTGACATCAGAAGAGTTACAGGGTGTGTTAAGTGGTGGTGTCCCATCCTTTCAGGTTGTTGGCCTGGGTAGGACTAAATAGATTTAAATAGTGGAGTAGGGTGGTGTTATTTTATTATTATTATTTTATTTTTTATTTTTTTGTGAGTGTAGTGTTAGATGGTAGGATATTTATTTTATTTTTTCAAGCAAAGTATAAGGGAGTTCTCCAGTCTAGTAGGTGGCGGTAATGCAACATTTATTGGATGCCAACCGCTGTTAAACCTCATTGAAGAAGAAGACAACTTCCTTGTCAACAAACATGGAGAACTTTGACGAAAGGCTATCAGAACAAGTTCACAAATAAAAAAACATCTTTATGATACCTCATGTAAGGAATTTCAAAGACACAAAAATTAGTTTGAAATCCTGGAAAGAGATCGGGGAGGTAATGGGGTTAGAGGTCAATGGAATGCAGAGCGTGGGATAGAAGGATGCTGGATTGGCGCACATTCAACCAGTCTGATCTAACAAAGTGTAACAGGCCCACAATGTGGTTACTAAAATCTGATTTGGATATATTTGGCTATTTTCACTGCATAACATTTAGAAGTTGTCCCTTTTCAAGTTTAGAAAAAGTGACTGCTAAATGCTAACTCCCATTTGTATAAGCTGGTAACATGTAACATGGTAACATACAGAAATCGAATTTGGTAGTCAAAGTAGTTTTTAACCGTAATGCAGTTGATTGATGACGATGACATGAACATGTATTGGGGTTGACATCCATACAAGGATTATACTCCTATTCTTACCTCAACATAGTGTGATATACACATATAAACAATAGCCTAAATGTAGGATAACTTTAGGGGGCAATGGAGAGATTCGGAATGGAGATGCAGGTGGGAAAACAGTGCAGCCTTTTTACTTCATGCTATCTTGGCTGAGCTCCTATGTCAAGCACTGGGAAACGGACTACCAACATCTCAGAAGAGGTAAGGGCTTGTCTTTTCGTTTAACCTGTTGCTTGTAATTAGCTGGATGGCTATTGAGATTAGCCCTGAATCACTAGGAGTGGTGCGGTGCAGACCAATTTATTGGATGTGTATGAATGCTCTGACTTCTGCGGAGGTCGGCTTGACCATGCAGAGCCTTTTAGTCTGGGCTTGCTAGCCAGCTAAGCTAACTGCAGACTGGGCGAAGCATTGCATCCTGGGAGGTCAAATGCACCCTGGGAATTCTAGTATACTGTAGACGAGGGCAATGCAGAAGCTTCAAAAATGACAGAAACAAGGAATCGTGCAGTATGACTAACAAAAACGATAAAACATCAAAATATGTATCAAATCTTACAGTAGTGCATATACACTGAGTGTACAAAACATTAGGAATACCTGCTCTTTCCATGACATAGACTGATCAGGTGAATCCAGGTGAAAGCTGTGATCCCTTATTGATGTCACCTGTTAAATCCACTTCAATCAGTGTAGATGAAGGGGAGGAAACAGGTTATAGAAGGATTTTTAAGCCTTGAGACAATTGAGACATGGAATGTATATGTGTGCCATTCAGAGGGTGAATGGGCAAGACAAAAGATTTAAGTGCCTTTGAACAGGGTATGGTAGTAGGTGCCAGGCGCACCGGTTTGAGTGTGTCAAGAACTGTAACGCTGCTGGGTTTTTCACGCTCAACAGTTTCCCATGAATGGTCCACCAACCGAAGGACATCCAGCCAACTTGACACAACTGTGGGAAGCATTTGAGTCAACATGTGCCAGCATCCCTGTGGAACACTTTCAACACCTTGTAGAGTCCATGCACCGACGAATTGAGGCTGTTCTGAGGGCAAAAGGGGGTGCAATTCAATATTAGAAAGGTGTTCCTAATGTTTTGTACACTCAGTGTATACAGGTACTTACAGCATAATAACTGGTTATAAAGTGGTGGAATTGTCCTTTAAACTGCAAATACATTCTCAATGAAGTATGCATTATATCACAATAATAATGTTTAAATCAATTTAATATAGGAAAGAGGAGCCAACTGAAGATTGCAACATATAATATTTATTATTGCTCCTATCTGTCACATGCACTTATGTTAAAACTGGCAGCGATGATGTTCAAAGTAGTCCAAGCTACAGAATAAACCAACAGACCACTTCAAATACAATACAATTCTCAGTAACGGTTACAGAAAAATATTTTTCTTACTATGGCTGTGATATGTTGTTGTTTATCTACCTTAGTTGAATGCATTGACTGTAAGTCGCTCTGGATAAGCGCGTCTGATGAATGAAGCCCCCAAATAAGTACAAATGTGGTCGGTCCAGACCAGACCAAATCTGAACGAATCATAGACATCTAGGCTATGTTTCACAAGTTTGAACAGCATAGTACAGTACGGCACAGTTCAGTACAGAAGAGCACAGTAGAGTATGGTACAGTGCAGTTTAATTCAGTAGAATAGAGTACAGTACAGTAGAGTACAGTACAGTTTAGTAGAGTACATTAGAGTAAAGTAGGGTACAATACAGTACATTATACTGTACTATACTGTCCTGTACTGTACTGAGTTATACTTAACTTTTCCTTAATTTACTGTACTCTACTGTACTGTACTGTGCTGTCCTAACTTGTGAAACATATATATCAATGATTGGTTCAGACCGGACCAAATCTATGTTTGGGCCAAATATAGGCCCGTCAGGACTGGACATTTGCGGATGTTGAAATCAAGGCCAGTCCGGCCCGGACCAAATCTGAACCAAACGTAGACGTCTATGATAGGTTCATATTTGGTCCGGTCCGGACGTTGAAATCAAGGCCGGTCCGGACCGCACCAAAAAAAGACGGTTGGTCCGGACAGGACCAAAAAAATACATCCAAAAGACATCGGCGTCGTTCCGTGCTTAGTGGGATATAGAAAGGTTACATACAGCATAAGTCTGTGTGTTTGTGGTATGTGGGATCTTACCGATGCCACCTGGAAGGAGTTGTTGGTCCCTCTGTGGTCCAAGTCATGACACATGCAGGACACAAAAAGAGCAAACATCTCGATGTCCCTGAAAGAGGACGCTGCAGTGTGAGTTGAAGTGTTCATGAGGGTGTTTCACTTTACCGTAACAAAGTTTTAAAATGCATTTCTCTGTGTGTTCTTACTCTAGGTAGTTGGAGAGCTCCAGGTTCTTGCAGAGGAGGTAGCAGAAATGAGAGACTGAGAATGCGTGCATCCAGTTGTGATATGGAGGATCCCTGTAGCCTCTCTTCACCATTAGACAGAACCTGGCCAGCGTGTGAATGTGAATCTTGTAGGTGTTGATGAAGCCCATGTCCTCAAACATGCTGATCACAGCCTAAAAAAAGGAGGCATGATTGAGAGACATGAGAAAACAGAAATAATAAACACTACCAGTGTCTTTCTCCAAGATTGTGTGTTGATTGTCTCACTGTGGGTGTGCAGTCGTCTGACAGGGAGCGAGGTGTGTAGGTGAAGCTGGAGAAGCTGGGGTGGATTTCCCCTACAGGCTGGATGCCCACAGTCAGTAGCCGGGTCACTTCCTCGTCTGACACCTGAGAGACAGGGTCAAAGGTCAGGACATTAACTGCCAAATATAACAATGACTGGATCTGCATTCATAGATTGAAGAGATCAGTTGAATAGGTTGAAGTGCTCTGATTGGATGCTTTACCATCATGTGGTACTTCATCATCTCATTGGCCAGCTGACTCCTAAACTGTGCTTCATCGACCCTCTTATATAGGAGGGACTGAGGAGGAACAGAAATGATGACAATATTGTTGATGACAAATTAGTGTTAATCAATTTATCAATATCCACACCAAGGACGATAACTATAACGAGATATATATATTTTATTGTTCTAATTCAAGTGAACAGGAGCGTTCACAGTACAACCACAACTACAAAAAGAGTGGAGAACGATTACAAGAGCTATCGTTCGGATCACTTTCAGAGCGATGATTTTCCCTGTCCCTCTGATGATAAAACATTGACAACCAATCGAAAAAGCATTGTATTGAAGCATTCTTGGTTCTAGGTGCGCGATGCTGCTCGGAGAGGAGAGAAGGCTGAGCGCATGGTAAGCTTGCCTGAATAACTGGGCATGTGTGAGCATATTGGTGGCAACATTAATTATAGGACGACTTGGGAGAATGATGATCCACGACAAACAGCGCATGAGAAGGCCATATTTTCCGATTGGTAGGCCTATCTGTTAATGCCGATACATCCTGAGTCTGACAAAACACTCACTATGACTGGCCTGCTAATATGTCTTTCTGGACCTAGTAAACTGTTGAGAATAGACCAATAACTAATCCAAATGGTTGCATAATCAATGACATTATGTAAAAGATGTGCAGGCTAAACAGCGTTTGTTGTTGAATTGCTACATTTAAAAATGAGTTTCTATATTACTTTTCATTACATGTACATTAAAGCAATGAATGGTCTGTGTTACCACCTTATTACTAGGCCTACAGCGTGCAGAAGGATGCGTTAATCAGCTGATTGACAGGTGTACTGCAGAACGATAAACTGTCTGCTGGTGTGGATGCTCACCAGCGTTTATAGTTATGTATAATTTATCGTTATAGTTATCGTCCTTGGTTTGGATGGCCCTTTACTCTATAAAAAAACCCAGATGTCAGGTAATAATCAGTTATAAGGTCTATAGGATAAGCAAATGGGATGCCTGTGCACTCACATGAGTGATGCTGATGCCACAGTATATGGAGAAAGCTGTGGCCAAGTCCTCATCCAGGTGGGTGAACCATGGTCCATTAGTCTTGTTGACCAGCTCAGCCACGCCAATCACTTCTGAAATGACAGAGAGAGAGAGAGGGATAACAGAGAGAGAGGGAAAAAGAGAGAGCGAGAGATGTGAGATATACAATTATCAGTAGATAGATCAGAAATAGGGAGGAGGGAAAATGGAGAGAGAAAGAAAAAGAAAAAAAGAGAGACAGAGACAGACCTCCGTGTTCGTCCTTTATGGGGAAGCAGAGGATGTTGCGTGTTCTGAAGCCTGTGCTGTCGTCCACGGCACGGTAGAAGAGAGGGTGGGAGTAGGCATCTGTGATGTTGAGGATCTTCCCTGTGGTGGCCACATGGCCTGCTATGCCTTGGTCAGCAGGGATACGCAGCTCTGTCTGAGACGAGAAGAAAGAGGCCATTACACTCTGGAAATAACAGCCATATACAATACCATTTTGTCTAATGCTAAAAAGTCTGTGGATTAGGGCTTTGGTGGGAGTGAGTTTAGGATGACGACCTACCTCCTCATCGATAACCAACTCCTCCATTAAACACCTTGGCAACCAGTTCATGACTGACACTGTCCAACAGGAACACAGAACAACTGGAGGAGAGATAGAAGGGTCATATTAATCAATGTTACTAACACTTTTGTTACCATCCTTGTGATAGCCTTATGGTAATACAGTACTTACATTTCTGCACTGGTGAGACTCCTGGCTTCTGCAATAATCTCTTTCAGCAGGACTGATACATCATCTGGAGACAGAAATAAATAACTGTTGTTATAACGGCTGACACTGATGCCTCACTGTGCCACTAAAATTAGGTTAATTATGATACGTACCCAAATGTGTGAAGAGGTTTTTGGCGACCTGAAGCAGTGCCTATATGAACCCAAACAGACACAGGTAACAGTTGAGAAGACTAGAAGTGTATTTGTGGCCTAGATAAAGATTCTCACCAAGTTAGGGATTGTGATGGACAAAGGTCAGTCACGCAGAGCAAGGCTAGCACAGTACAGTATTGGCTCAGTGGTCAATGAGTGCAGTCAGGTAGCGTCTCCTTACCTGACATTCATACTTGAGTCTCTGTTCCTTCTGGAAGGCCAGTGTGCTGGTCAGTACTGAGGATGTGTAGCGGAAACAGTGCTGCACTATGTGTTCATCCACCTCTGTGTGTCTGAAGGATGACAAACACACATACAATATTTTACAGTAAGACACAGACATATGCAGCTACCCATGCACACACGCATACACCCACAGGCAGCCGTATGCACGCTTACGCTAACACACATAGCTCTATACCTGTCTGCTCCTTTTTTGTTGAAGGCACAGGCGAGGGCCACAACCTTGGTGGTGGCCCGACACTCAACAGGAACACACAGCATAGAGAGAACTTCAAATCCCAGAGTGCTGTTCAGCTGCTGGTGTTCCTCCTACATTATTAGCCCAGAGAAGAAGGGAAAGGGGCAGAGATGTAGAGAACACGAGCATCAAACACATCCAAACCTACTACTTATTGTAAGACTACAAAACACTACAATACTGATCAGGAACATTTCAGTGTTCTTACTGGAGTGACGTCTTGCAGGGAGATGCTCTTCCTCTTCTGCACAGCCTGACCAAGGTGGCCAAATGTCAACTGGACCCCAGACAGATAGACAGGGTCAGGCAGAGTAAGGGGCAGCAGCAGGGACACAGGTGGTAATGTCAGAGGGATAGAAGGGCTGTGTTGTGTAACTTACTGGGAAACTGATCTCCGCCTTCAGAACATTGTCTCCAACTACCTGAGGAATAACAAAGACATCTAACAAACTTGTCTTTGTTTATTTTTGCAACTTTTGCTTCATTTTAGATGATTGCATATTGTGTGTGTGTATGTGTACCTGACAGAACAGCTGTTGGTTATTCTCTGATACCAGAAGTAAACAGCAGCACAATGACTGAGTCTGCTCCTCCAGCTGTGAAAACAACAATACAACCGATTCAGTCAAACAGTCACTGTGTATCAATCAAACGATCAACCAGCTCTGATCATTCACAGTTTATTTATGGTTCTGGACTCACATAACGGATGACTTTAAGTTGGAGGGAGGCAGCGTCCAGGTCATACAACTCTCCTATAGTAAGGAGTGAAAGAAGCAACATAAAGTGATTACTTTATATTACTTTATAATATATTCTTATCTACTATTATCCAATACACTCAACATTGATGTGTCTACAGACAGCAAAATACAGATGTACGTCTCCCATCCCACTATCATACCACAAAGCCTCAGGATCTGATGGTCCAGTGCACTGTAGTCCACATCAGTTGTTGTCCTCTTGTTCAGGGATAGACATGGTGTCCTGTTGACCTCTGACCCCTGGGTGAGCCTTTGACCCTGCAGAGCCTGGACTCTCTTACAGGCTACGGTGACCTGTGAGGCACAATCAGAGTTGTACCAGCAAATGTCAGCTGCATTCAGAGCAGGCCTGTTGTCTCAGAATGTGATCCCATGAAAGGACCGGTGGGTCTGGAGAAGGCACTTCATACTCACGTGTTTCTCCAGGACATCAAGGCTTTGTTCCTGAGCTATAGTGGGCAGTGTACAGCAAACCTTTTAGAATAGAGAAGACAGAGTTACAGTCATAAGAATGAAGTATTATCTTTCAGACTGTAAGGCAGATAGGTGAGATGGTTATGTGGAGCATGCTCACCAAGAGGAGGGCGGTAGCTACGCCTTGGTCCCCATCCAGGATTGGAATGATCATCACTGGGGTGGAGGTGGAGAAGATGGAGAGAAAATTAAAGAAAAATTAGGGGGTGGAGAGGAGGGAAGTATTAGCCTGGAGGAGGACTGTGCACTGTTTTGAACTCTCCTTGAACTCTCTCAAATCGTTTCGAGTATAGTTGCTGTTGTTCACCCAGTAATACACACAGATACTGACACTGGGCGGCATGTAGCCTAGAGGTTAGCGCATTGGACCAGTAACAGAAAGCTCGCTAGTTCGAATCCCCAAGGTGAAGAAATCTGTAGATGTGCCCTTGAGTTAGGCACTTCACCCGTTGGCAGACCCTGGCCGTGATCCCCCTCTCAGGGGGAGTTGGGATACGCAAAAATATTATTTCCAATTCAAATGTGTGAAATAGGACAATTATAAGCAAAAACACACCTCTTTTGTCCTGCTGCAGTGGCTCTGTTAGTCTCTCTCTCTGTTGCTCCTGCAGCTCTGAGGAAGGAAGACCCTCACACTGTACTCTCCTCTGCTGGACAACCACATCCCTGAGAGAGACAGAGATTTGATTGATTGGTCACACTTTATTTGGATAGTCCGGATTTTCCATCTGTAGATGCCCTACAGATGGCCATTCTATCAGTACACTATCTGTTGATAAGCGACTGCTTGCTAATGTTACGGTTAGGGTTAGGTTTAGAATAAGGGTTAGGGTAAGGGTTACGGCTAGGGTTAGGGTTAAGTTTAGGGTTAGGATAAGGGTTAAGGTTAGGGTTAGAGCTAGGGTTAGGGTAAGTAGGTACAGTGAGGGAAAAATGTATTTGATCCCCTGCTGATTTTGTACGTTTGCCCACTGACAAAGAAATTATCAGTCTATAATTTTAATGGTAGGTTTATTTGAACAGTGAGAGACAGAATAACAACAAAAGAATCCTGAAAAATGCATGTCAAAAATGTTATAAATTGATTTGCATTTTAATGAGGGAAATAAGTATTTGACCCCTCTGCAAAACATGACTTAGTACTTGGTGGCAAAACCCTTGTTGGCAATCACAGAGGTCAGACGTTTCTTGTAGTTGGCCACCAGGTTTGCACACATCTCAGGAGGGATTTTGTCCCACTCCTCTTTGCAGATCTTCTCCAAGTCATTAAGGTTTCGAGGCTGACGTTTGGCAACTCGAACCTTCAGCTCCCTCCACATATTTTCTATTTTCTGGCTAGGCCACTCCAGGACCTTAATGTGCTTCTTCTTGAGCCACTCCTTTGTTGCCTTGGCCGTGTATTTTGGGTCATTGTCAAGATGGAATACCCATCCACGACCCATTTTCAATGCCCTGGCTGAGGGAAGGAGGTTCTCACCCAAGATTTGACGGTACATGGCCCCGTCCATCGTCCCTTTGATGCGGTGAAGTTGTCCTGTCCCCTTAGCAGAAAAACACCCCCAAAGCATAATGTTTCCACCTCCATGTTTGACGTGGGGATGGTGTTCTTGGGGTCATAGGCAGCATTCCTCCTCCTCCAAACACGGCGAGTTGAGTTGATGCCAAAGAGCTCCATTCTGGTCTCATCTGACCACAACACTTTCACCTAGTTCTCCTCTGAATCATTCAGATGTTCATTGGCAAACTTCAGATGGGCATGTATATGTGCTTTCTTGAGCAGGGGGACCTTGCGGGCGCTGCAGGATTTCAGTCCTTCACGGCGTAGTGTGTTACCAATTGTTTTCTTGGTGACTATGGTCCCAGCTGCCTTGAGATCATTGACAAGATCCTCCCGTGTAGTTCTGGGCTGATTCCTCACCATTCTCATGATCATTGCAACTCCACGAGGTGAGATCTTGCATGGAGCCCCAGGCCGAGGGAGATGGACATTTCTTTTGTGTTTCTTCCATTTGCGAATAATCACACCAACTGTTGTCACCTTCTCACCAAGCTGCTTGGCGATGGTCTTGTAGCCCATTCCAGCCTTGTGTAGGTCTACAATCATGTCCCTGACATCCTTGGAGAGCTCTTTGGTCTTGGCCATGGTGGAGAGTTTGGAATCTGATTGATTGATTGCTTCTGTGGACAGGTGTCTTTTATACGGGTAACAAACTGAGATTAGGAGCACTCCCTTTAAGAGTGTGCTCCTAATCTCAGCTCATTACCTGTATAAAAGACACCTGGGAGCCAGAAATCTTTCTGATTGAGAGGGGGTCAAATACTTATTTCCCTCATTAAAATGCAAATCAATTTATAACATTTTTGACATGCATTTTTCAGGATTCTTTTGTTGTTATTCTGTCTCTCACTGTTCAAATAAACCTACCATTAAAATTATAGACTGATAATTTCTTTGTCAGTGGGCAAACGTACAAAATCAGCAGGGGATCAAATACTTTTTTCCCTCACTGTAGTTAGTTAGTTGAAATCTTATTGATAGTCTGTAGAGCAGCTACAGATGGACTATCCAAATAAAGTATTACCGATTTATTTAAAGGGTAGGAAGCATGGGTTTTTACTCACCAAAGTAATAACTCAGTGTGGTCAAAGACTTAGTAACTTAGTTGTAGTCATTAACTGGTTACCTATAACTACATTTTTACATATTTATTAACTTATTTCCGGATATGTTCGGAACTACCCACAATGCACTATTTTTCAACGTCATATGGAGAACCGGTGCTACCTAGCTAGTTCCAGCTGGCTAACGTTAGCTACTAGCCATGCTAGCATGTAATTACATTCCAAACCAAGTGTTGGCGCTTGTGAGCTACTATGTACATACATGCAGAAGAAACCATATAAATGAATGCGAAAAACTGCATCTGCTCTTCTCCTGTGCGTTTGGTAGTGGTAGTCGAGCGAGCTAGTAAGTGTTGTAGTATTTTTCCTTTGTCTGTAGCTAGTGTTAGTTTTCATTTCAGACCCAACAGCTTTTTTTAAAGCTCAACCCAACAGCTTTTTTAGAAGCTAAATATGCCAAGTAGTGTGTTGTTGCTGGGTGCAGTAATACCCACAAGGACAGGGTTACAACTCCTTTGTGGCCCAAAAACAAGAAGCTAGCTTTGAAGTGGGACTAGTTTGTCCGGTTGAAGCGAGTGGATTGGAGTAAGGGAACCGCGGGCACATCTACTGTATGCGGTACTCATTTCACCCCGGAGGATTTTGATGGCTATAACCAGTGGAAGACAGGATTCGGAATGAGACTCCGACTGAAACCAGGTGCTGTGCCGAGCATGAATGTGAAGCCTGCAACCTGTTCCCTACCGACCTTCCGGTACATCGCGAGTGTCAGCAATGATGGAGATAAACCAGGTAAGTTCAATGTGGTAAACCTCTAATATAGCTACACTTTATGGCTAACTTAACTAGCTATGTATTTGTACAAATTATACTGTATTTATCTATAATCTAGCTAACATTTCTAGATTGTTATATCTAGCTAGCTAACGTTTATTATAAGGTTACTACCTGTATACTAATAACGTTACAAGAAAAGCTACACTGCCTGCAATGTTTTTGACCAGCTAACTTAGCTAATGTGTCATAGCCTGTCTCTCTGCTAGCTAGCAAGCTTATCTAGCTTGTCAACTTGTGACTGTGTTCCAAAAACATGTCGACACATTGCTGGGATTGAGACATGGGAGCCAGCTTGCCTAGTTAGCTAAAGTCAGCTAAAGTTATTTTTGACGATGGTCCTGTTGGTCAATTTGTCCACCGAAAGTTGTGCGCCAAAAATTGTCCACCAAATTTTGTCAATATCATTGCATTGCATACCAAAAGTTGTCTGCCAAAATTGTCCGCAAAATTAGTACGACAAAAGTTGGTTGGCTAGCTAGCTAGGTCAATTGGTAAGCTAGCTAGCTAATTCACTTTTAGCCAGTTAGGTAACAACCTAAGCCATCTAGATAATATAACATATTAATAGAGATATTCGTTATATTATATAATATTGCTTGTATGATGTGATAAATGATAGGTAGTCTTTATAAAAAACATTACGCGTTAGGCTGATATATTACATTACAAACAATGTCACTTGAGGGAAAATGAAGACTAAATTATGACTGTCTGAAGTACAGGTCAACTGGGCACCACATCAGCTTTGCCTATTACCTGAGTCTCCCCTTCTTCTGTAGCTCATGAGGTGGTTCTTCACACCACAAGCGTCCTGTCTCTGCATCTAATAGATAGATGTATACACTGTCCTATAACAGAGACGGGACGGGGGACGGGGGACGGGGGGGGGGGGGCAGCCTGTTAATGAGGAGGGTAAAAACCACATACGCTCCCCTCCATATGTATTTTTGGACAGTAAAGCTATATTTTTTTATTTGGCTCTATACTCCGGCATTCTAATTTAAGATATAATGTTTCATATTAGGCGACAGTACAGAATGTCAGCTTTTGTTTTAGGGTATTTTCATACATTTCTGTTTTGAAAGCACTTTATGTCTCTAGTCCCCCCTATAATTATTTGGGCAAATTCACTTATAGTGTATTACGTTTAGTCAAAAGTTTGTATTTAGTCCCATATTCCTAGCACGCAATGACTACATCAAGCTTGTGACTCTACAAACTTGTTGGATGCATTTGCGGTTTGTTTTGGTTGTGTTTTGGATTACGTTTTGCCCAATAGGAACTGAATGGTGAATAATGTCTTGTGCCATTTTGGAGTCACTTTTATTGTAAGTAAGAATAGAAGATGTTTCTGAACACTTCTACATTCATGTGGATGCTACCATGAGTATGGATAATCATGAATGGGTCATCAATAATGATTAGTGAGAAAAAGGTTACAGAGGCACAAAGATCATACCCCCCCAAAAATGCTAACCTCCCCTGTTAGTGGTAATGGTGAGAGGTTAGCATGATTTGTTGAAGTCTCTGTAATATTCTCACTCATCATTATTCACAATTCATTCTTAATTCTTCTTAATCATGGCATTATATTATTAATTTAGTGTTCAGAAACATCTTATCTACTCACTCAGTTCCTATTGGGCAAAACATAAGCCAAAACCTACCGCAAATGCGGCCAACAAGTTTGTAGAGTCACAAGCTTGATGTAGTCATTGTGTGAAAGGAATATGGGAACAAATACTAAACTTTTGATACCCTGTAAGGGAATTTTTCCAAATACTTATGACATGGGGGGACTAGATGCATAAAGTGCTTTCCTTTCTAAACAGTAAAACAGATATATGAACATACCCTCAAATAAAGGTGACATTCTGTACTGTTGCCTGATATTAAACATTTTATTTCAATTCCAAAATGCTGGTGTATAGAGCCAAAATAAAATAAAAGTAGCTTCACTGTCCAAATATACAGTTGAAGTCGGAAGTTTACATACACTTAGGTTGGAGTCATTAAAACTTGTTTTTCAACCACTCCACAAATTTCTTTTTAACAAACTATAGTTTTGGCAAGTCGGTTAGGACATCTACTTTGTGCAAGACACAAGTAATTTTTCCAACAATTGTTTACAGACAGATTATTTCACTTATAATTCACTGTATCACAATTCCAGTGGGTCAGAAGTTTACATACATGAAGTTGACTGTGCCTTTAAACAGCTTGGAATATTCCAGAAAATTATGTCATGGATTTAGAAGCTTCTGATAGGCTAATTGACATCATTTGAGTCAATTGGAGGTGCACCTGTGGATGTATTTCAAGGCCTACATTCAAACACAGTGCGTCTTTGCTTGACATCATGGGAAAATCTAAAGAAATCAGCCAAGACCTCAGAAAAATAATTGTAGACCTCCACAAGTCTGGTTCATCCTTGGGAGCAATTTCCAATAGTATGCAAGTATAAACACCATGGGACCACGCAGCCGTCATACCGCTCAGGAAGGAGAAGCGTTTAGAGATGAACGTACTTTGGTGCGAAAAGTGCAAATCAATCCCAGAACAACAGCAAAGGACCTTGTGAAGATGCTGGAGGAAACAGGTACAAAAGTATCTATATCCACAGTAAAACGAGTCCTATATCGACATAACCTGAAAGGCCGCTCAGCAAGGAAGAAGCCACTGCTCCAAAACCGCCATAAAAAAGCCAGACTATGGTTTGCAACTGCACATGGGGACAAAGATCGTACTTTTTGGAGAAATGTCCTCTGGTCTGATAAAACAAAAATAGAACTGTTTGGCCATAATGACCATCGTTATGTTTGGAGGAAATAGGGGGGGCTTGCAAGCCGAAGAACACCATCCCAGCCGTGAAGCACAGGGGTGGCAGCATCATGCTGTTGGGGTGCTTTGCTGCAGGAGGGACTGGTGCACTTCACAAAATAGATGGCATCATGAGGAAGGAAAATTATGTGGATATATTGAAGCAACATCTCAAGACATCAGTCAGCAAGTTAAAGCTTGGTCGCAAATGGGTCTTCCAAATGGACAATGACCACAAGCATACTTCCAAAGTTGTGACAAAATGGCTTAAGGACAACAAAGTGAAGGTATTGGAGTGGCCATCACAAAGCCCTCAATCCTATAGAAAATGTGTGGGCAGAACTGAAAAAGTGTGTGTGAGCAAGGAGGCCTACAAACCTTCTCAGTTACACCAGCTCTGTCAGGAGGAATGGGCCAAAATTCACACAACTTATTGTGGGAAGCTTGTGGAAGGTTACCCAAAACGTTGGACCCAAGTTAAACAATTTAAAGGCAATGCTACCAAATACTAATTGAGTGTATGTAAACTTCTGACCCACTGGGAATGTGATGAAAGAAATAAAAGCTGAAATAAATAATTCTCTCTACTATTATTCTGACATTTCACATTCTTAAAATAAAGTGGTGATCCTAACTGACCTAAGACAGGGAATTTTTATTAGGATTCAATGTCAGGAATTGTGAAAAACTGAGTTTAAATGTATTTGGCTAAGGTGTATGTAAACTTCCGACTTCAACTGTATATGGAGGGGAGTGTATGTATACTTTAAGGCCAAGCAGGAGAAAATATGGTTGGAATTTCTATTACATTTATTTCATTATTTGGTCAAACATGTACAAGTGGATGGTCTTTGGTCTGTTTTGTGTCATTCAATTGGTTTCCAGTTTCTCTGTAAGCCCTACCACAGGGAGAATACAGTATGGTGGTGGATAGGACACAGACTTTAGATACAAATCATGACGGAGACAGTAGACACACACCACTTCAGAGAGGACAGCCTGGAGAGCCTTTCTGATGGCATCCTGCAGGGAAGAGGAGTCTGTGACTGAGGCCAGTCGGAGCAATGCATCCTGGGAAATAAAGTAAAGGGAAATAATCATTAATATCATGGTGACTTTGATGCACAGAGGAGAAGAAGGAGCAGGAATGGGTTCTGGATGTTACTCACACAGAACTGCCTCTCCAGCAGCTCATATTCACTGGAGACACATGCACTGTAGAATACAGCCAGACCGACCGGTGACACATACAAAACACTCACTATTACAGCAATCAATGCAAAATCTTAGGACATATCTCAAAGGATGTAGCTTGGTCAATTCTCTAACTGTCAAACTGTGACTGGCAACCAAACACCCAGCCTCCAAAAACTGTAAGTCAAAATATACATTTTTGTCTTTTAGCAGAAACTCTTATCCAGAGCGACTTACAGGAGCAATTAGGGTTAAGTGCCTTGCTCAAGGGCACATCGACACATATTTCACAAAGTCAGCTCGGGGATTTTAACCAGCGACCATTCGATTACTGACCCAACACTCTTAACCGCTAGGCTACCTGTCCCCCAAATGACAGTAAGTTACAGTCATAACCCAAATTATTGGATCGCTTGATAAAGATTAGCAAAAAAGGCTATATAAAATAAATAATACAAATACTGAGCTACACTGAGTGTACAAAACATTAAGAACACCTGCACTTTCCATGACATAGACTTACCAGCTGAATCCAGACGTGAAAGTTATGATCCCTTATTGATGTCACTTGTTAAATCTACTTCATTTAGTGTAGATGAAGGGGAGGAGACAGGTTAAAGAAGGATTTTTAAGCCTTGAGACAACTGAGACATGGATTGTGTATGTGTGTCATTCAGAGGGTGAATGGGCAAGACAAAAGATTTAAGTGCCTTTGAACAGGGTATGGTAGTAGGTGCCAGGCACACCGGTTTGAGTGTGTCAAGAACTGTAACGCTGCTGGGTTTTTCACGCTCAACAGTTTCCCATGAATGGTCCACCAACCGAAGGACATCCAGCCAACTTGAAACAACTGTGGGAAGCATTAGAGTCAACATGGGCCAGCATCCCTGTGGAATGCTTTCGACACCTTGTGGAGTCCATGGCCCCAGCGAATTGAGGCTGTTCTGAGTGCAAAAGGGGGGGGGGGGGGACTAAATATTAGGAAAGTGTTTGTAATTTTTTGTATACTCAGTGTATATTGTAGGCTCAATTTTTTGGGGGAAAATTACATTATTTTATACTAATACAATTGTTCAGAGAAGTAAATTAAAAATCAAAAAAAGATAAGTGTCAAAATTATTGGCACCTCTAACGATTCTTTTAAATAAAATAAAGAAACATTTAATCTGCATTAACATTTTATGTTTTTAAATTAATCTCTGTATTGTGGCCTTGTATGGCTTCCTGTTTCACTGGGGTACAATAATGAGGTAACACACATGTAAAATCCATTTGTCATCCATCACCATGGGGAAAAGCAAAGAACTCACAAATGAAAAGAGACAAATGGTTGTTGACTTTACAAAGAATTACAGAACTTGGTCACATCCTGTGGTCACCAAATTTATAATTCCTTGCCACCTCCATGCCAATCAATATGCTATTTGGAAGGGTTTCCATTTAAAAAAACTTTATTGAGAGCAACCAACAAATGCAAACACCAGAGCGATATCCTACAAAGCAAGTTAGATCTCAGGGTTTTCTAAAGCTAACCAGCTTCAGTTAGCTTCATATTCCATCTCAGGCTTCATCCGTACTACGGTGTATATTGCTCGACCGCCTGCCGCTAACTCTAGCAGGCTTGTAACTGCGCGTGCATGTCGCACATGGCTAGTCGAATGCCGAACTCTTCGTTGAGACAATGCTGAAACATCAATCCATGGGCGAGTCAGTGCCACATTTTAATTTGTGCCGAAATCAAAATGAATGACAAGTTGTCTTACAAATTCAGCAGGCTATGGTGTGAAATAGGCTTTTAGAAGTGCCGACTTTATTTTATTACTCATCGTTAATGCCATATTTTGTTTGCTTTGGTGTGCTTATCAATGCACAAGCACCTTTTTTCCCCACTCCTATCGTTATGTTTTCTTTATTAAGTCATACAAAAGTGTTACATTATTTGAAGTTTAAAATGCATTCTGTCATTACTAAAAACATTTGATTAATAAAATATTTAATCAGTCGTCTTCCTCAAATGATGGGGATGATGACACAATCTTTGCAAGAGGGAGGGAATCTGATTTCATTGGTCCTCAACTCTCGGCTCAGGTGAGCCACTTTCATATGACCGGTTATTCCGAGTTGAACCCAGAGCTGACCAAAATGACCTTGCTAATTCCTTAAACCTGCTTCGGAGGACACCCCTCTGGAGTTTGCTAAACGGCATTGGCACTTGGATTGGAACCGGGTGCTATGGTCAGATGAGACGAAAATAAAGCTCTTTGGCCAAGCAAACCAGTGGTGGGTTTGAAAGAAGGATGCATATCAGAAAATAACCTCATACCTACTGTAAAATATGGTGGTGGATCTTTGATGTTATGGGGCTGTTTTGCTCTTGTTAAGGTTAACGGCATCATGAACTCTACCATGTACCAGGACATTTTAGCCAAAAACCTTGTTGCCTCTGCCAGGAGGCTGAAACTTGGTCGCAAGTGGATTTTCTAGCAAGACAATGACCCCAAGCACACGTCAAAATCCACAAAGAAACCACAATATCAACATCTTGCAATAGCCATCTCAGTCTCCAGACATGAACCCCATTGAAAATCTGTGGTTTGAATTGAAGGGGGCAGTCCATAAGTGCAGAATGAAGGATATCAAGGATCTGGAAAGACTCTGTATGTAGGAATGGTCTAAGATCCCTCCCAATGATTTCTTCAATCTTATAAAACATTATAGAAAAAGTTAAAGTGCCGCTATCCTCGCAAGGGGAGGATGCACAAAGTATTGAAAACAGGGGTGCCAATAATTTTGACACACATCTTTTTGAGATTTTATTTTATTACTTGTTGAACTAAATATTTTTCTCTGAGCAATTGTATTAGTATAATATAATATAATTTTGTTTGAGCATACCATATAGCTCAGTATTTGTATTACCGTATTTATAGTCTTTTTTGCTATCTTTATGCCAATAATTTCTGTTGTAGCTGTATGTTCCCTTTCATTGCATTACCAAAGAACATGTGGCTTTATTCGTGCCTTCATAATTTTGCACAATTAAAACTGAAGCTGGTTTTAATATTGTTTCATAGCTGTATATTTCAGTAATGTCGACAACACTTTAATGTTCACACGCATAGTGAATGCCCTGGAGAGGGTGCCTGTTTTATACTGCATGATTGTTAATTGATGCAGTTCATAAACCTTGGACTTGTATCAGCTCTCTGGGCCAGAAGAATATGGAACACCAAGAATGATTAACATTTATGGTGAAGTGATGATTCGTTTCAATCTTCCACACATACCTACACACCACAGGAGGCTGCTGAGGGGCTCATAATAATGGCTGTCATGGAGTAAATGGAATGGTATCAAACACATAGAAACTGTGTTTGATGTGCTGGATACCATTCCATTAATTCCGTTCCAGCCATTACTATGAGCCCGTCCTCCCCAATAAAGGTGCCACCGGCCGCCTGTGGTACACACATACTTGTCACACAGCCAACCTTCACTTGCCTTAGAGTCAAAGTTACAAATAGGTCTGGAGCAACAGCTTCATCATACACAATGATCCTCCTTAATCCCAGAAACCAGAGTAGGGTTGCAAATGGAGAGTATAATACTGGAAAGTTTCTAAGTTTACCAATAAATTACAAGTATTTTGGTAACTTTCAAGGTTTTTATTTTATTTTATCAGATGACATCTAGTGGCCTTTTTGGGTACTTCAGATTATCACAGGTGTCTGTAATTATCTCTGGCCCTCTGTGTGGCCTCATCACATGTTAAATATATAAAATATTCTGTCCCCAATTTGTGTGTCTCCTACACAAATCGACAGATAGCTAACAACTCTAATAATAATGAAGATCCAGGAGGCAGGAATACCATTTGGGTTCTTTAGTAAGGATAATTGTAAAACTGCAATACAAAAAAATTGAAAATATGCATCACAAAATGTTCTGCATCCATTCACATCAAGCAAACACAAAGGCATAAAAATAATACATTAGAAATACACCAATGAATAGCATGACTCCATTAATTTACCATCCCGAGCTAACAAGGAATAGGGCCTAGCTAATTTTCCCCAAACATCGGACACCCCCTAACCTCGGACACTCTCTAGCGGTTGGAGGACTGAATCACCTCGAGCTCAACATTTAAATGGACTGAAAAATAACGGTACGTTTTGTGACTAACGACACCCTTTTAGCTAGCTGACCACCGATTTTCAGTGCAATTTATGTAAGTTAAGTTAGGTTTTGAGAGTTTTCAAAAACGTTATATGTACACATTTTGTGGAACACGCTGCATATTGTAAAATTCGACTGCGCGACACACCACACCTAATTTAATATCCAACTTTTTACCTCTGAAATATAGCTAACGGATTTTCTAATGTTGCTATCTTAGTTGCTAAATGTTGATAGAACTGCTAAGTAAGCAAAAAGGAAAGAAATTGTAAGTGTTAGATAATACATATCACGAAAACAGCTGCATGTTGTCAAGCTTTACCGTATCAAAATTTGAGTCCTCTGACGGAGGCATTTTGCACAATCTGCAAAAATGTATTTGGAACTTTGAACCATGAACTTTTTGACACCTATCACTGTTGGCCATGTTTCATCTTACAACAGCTACATAGAGGCAGTATTTAGTCAAATGGTACAATGTATGCATCAATATTACACTAATTGGGACACTCATTTTCATTACAGATAACATCAAACAAAAAACGTGGGTACACTTTCAGTTATTGTGAAAACTTTCATCACCTTTCAATGCCTTAGCTTTGAAATGTAAATGTTTATACATATTCAGATTTAGTTATCTTTCTAAAATGTATATAGTATGCCAAGTTATTTAGCTACATGTATTTACCACTGCAGCA